AAATGGATGGGCAGAATACATAGATGGCTACTTAAGCTTGTCGATTTTTTTTCATCTACACACTTTAACTAGAGGGGTGACTTATTGATGAACACCTAACATATACTGATAATGTACCTATTGAACTTATTGTTGACTGTAAGCCAGAAACTAAACAGGTGAAGTTCACACCAAAAACCAACCAGCTTCTGCCATCTCACCCGAACCCCAGACTCTTTGCTCCGACGAAGTGGCTTCTCAGACATCTTTTTCCTCACAAGCTATAGCCCCACTCTCAAAACCTTCCTAGCATACCAACTATCTACACAGACAATATTTATATTCAGCTTTTAGACATTAATTGAAAGTTCATTACATCAGATCACCTGAACAGATTTCAGATAAGAACATGAAGCAAGATCTTACATTGTCTCTGGAATGCAGGATAGAGCTAGATTGCCGTGACATTTCAGCAACCAATATATAGAACAGGCCCATAACTCCTGTATGCCTTTGATCACTGCTATAGTTTGATAATAAAGTCAGAGTCTCTCCCTCGGATATCTTGACAGAGCCAGGCCTGGGATAACAAGTGGACATACCAACAATATAACCAGCCTCATTTCCTGGTTCCTTTCCTTCTCCATAGATTGGAAGAGATGAGCATATAACCCGTCCATCCTGAACCAATTTAGTGGAGAAACAAGAAACAGTAATCAGCAGACCTTGCATTCCTTTGACGAATCGAAACGATCACAAGACGATCAAGACAACTTCAAATAGATACGCTACAAATCATTATCGTCACCTTATTCACTAACCATAGTACTGAAGTTGATTGAGGATTTTATTGTGATACAGATAAACACAGTACACAGAGAAAGAAGGAGCCAAGCAGTGCTTAGCTTAACACCAACCCTTTGTGAGAGCTTCACGTGTAACTTCGTAGCCCCAAGAAGATTGACCAAGGACTAGCATCCACTAATCAACTCGCAAAGGGAGTGTGGATTTGTAATCCACAGAAGGCGACACCCTATCAACTAACTTTCAAAGGTTTGATTAAGTAAATTATCTCAACCACACAACAAAGAGACAGCTATTAAGCTTTCCCAGACATTGAAGAGGAAACAAAGCAATACTCTACAATTTTTAGGATCTAGATAACAATTGCAATCAACAAAATGAGTCCCTAAAAGTTTGATGCTTGTGACAGTTTTGCCTTAAGATCGACCCATTGGCATCGTTCAGGTCCTTTATCAGTAGACTGGTTTACAAGGGAACTTGACTTTTAGGTCTGAAGAAATTTGGCCAAGCCTATGTCACTTTCTTAATCGAGAGAAAAAGGAGACCAAAGAAGTACAGGATTGATGCATGAATGATCAAATCATAGAGATGGAAGAAAATTCCCCTGGGAGACCCAAATATTGGGGAGTTCACGCCGTGTGGCATAACAGAAACTATAATTTGATTATTTTCCTCACCTCAAATACATTTGAAGCAGGACGCGTTGATATTGTGTAACAATAATCTCCTGTATTCAGGTTAGTAAAACAGAAACAACCTCTCTAAGATACAGTCCATCAACATTACAAGTGTATCACCAAGAAAAACTTCATCCTAGGTGCATAAATTAGCAAAGTGGGAAGTCGTGGAATTAACTAGATTCTGAGCTGACTATGACCAAAAAAAAAAATTTAACATCTCAAAGTACCTCTCCAAGGAGGGTTGAACCAATCCCACCTGCATGCTGGTGAGCAACTCCATAGATAACATTTCCACCATTAGGCAAAGTTACACTTATCTTTTTTGTATGGATGCATCCATTATTAGCAACAGCAGCAGAACATGACTCAACTTTAATTCAATCTGTATCAAGAAAGTTCAACTAAATTATTGACCGCAATATCTAGGGGATAAAGGGTTCAAAAACATTGCAACTTATGAATCCAATTACCATTCATTTTATACAATAATAATAATAACATAGGCAAATAATTGCACAATTCCTAGGATCTTATATACTGAAGCGTCAAATCTATGGGGGTGGAGGGAGAGTGCCGGCCGAAAGCCAATAGATTTGGTTCAAACTCTATATTTGTCTTTAAAATTCATTGAATATTTAGAACCCATAAGATTCAAATCCTGACTCCGCCTCTGAAATCAATATTACTCTTTTTTTTAATAAGTAATATCACTCTCTTATTCATTCATCAGTTGGAAATACTTTCTAAAGGAAACCAACAAAAAGTTTATGTAGATATCCTAGAGAGGATTTAATATTGCTGATTCCAACCAGTTTGGGATTGAGGAGTACAGTGGACTGAGTGATTGAAAGCAAATAACCAAATTAGAAGTGTTCATCACCTGACAATGATGTCTTGACAGCTTAAGTCCTGTTGATTTCCGCCTTTTCCATGTATCAGTGACATCAAGAATATATATTTTAACAGGCTTAATGAAGGCATGCCAATCAACATATTTGATTGTGTACTTCAGGTACAAACTTCTCTTTGGACCCTGAAACCCTTCTCTTGTTCTGCATCTTGTTTCATCATGACAACATCTCAAGCCTCCAATGTAATTTGGTTCTATATCTCGGTCATACTCATCCTTTGTAACATTATAAAGATCACACCTGCATTCTGTGCATCCCATCTGATCTTCGGAACCTCGTGTCTCAATTGCATGTACATTAAGCAACCATCTTTCTTCATATCCTGGAGGTACTTCTAAAGGATTACCAACCTCTATCCCATAAGGGTCTGGAACATATTTCACTGTTTTACGAGTTTCAGACCCAAGGCCAAAATATTGAAAAAGATCCCTTCCACATATCCCTGAGTTCCTCACTAATATATAATCTGACTGTTCAAACCCCAGATCGTCATGGTACTTTGACACCTCCAAACCTTTGTGTTGATAATATCTTACCACAAGCCAATGATGGAGATATGTTTCATAAAGGGGGACAGGATTCCTTGACTCATCAACTACTTCAGCATCAAAACTTTTGATAGCAATATGGCCTTTAGGGAAATCGATGTTGTAGTAAATTTGTTAGCAACTAATCCAGGTTCGAGCACAAAATTTGGTGATAAGAAAGTGGCAGTTTTAACCTTGTTTTCATTTCTTAGTCGAGTCTGTAAGCTTGGGCGAATCGTTATTAGCAGTAGGACTGCCAGCACAAGCAACTGGAACTTTGAATTGAATGCCATCTTTTTCACTTTAACAACTCACTTCTTGTTTATACATCTGGCAACAACACTTCAACCAGTTAAAAATCCATAGGTTAAGTTTTAGAGGTATCTGTGAGTTAAAAAAGTCTACACATTTTTGTCATCGAACAACAGTACATTCTAGACAGATTAGTAGATTACTCAATTCATCGACTTTTGTTTATTATCACTGATTATAAAGAAAAGAAAGAGACATTAGACCGGTTAACTGACGCTACGTAGAGACAAAGGGTATCTATCGAACAAGATCATTTCACAATTTTCGGTTACTTTGAATTGTGGAAAGTCTTTTCTCTGAGGAAAATGTTTTCCACCAACATAGAGCAATTGGATGAGTCATTTTCCTTTACAAATATCCTCCCTCAAACTCCATATCACTTGCTTCAATCAACAATTCTGTCATTTTTATCCCTCTCTAATATAAAACATTTCCATCAAAACACTATAATCGTATATAATCACCTACAATACAAACACAAAATGACACTTGGATAGAACTTTTTCCACATTACTTTTATTTTTCATGGAAAACTATTTTCTTTGCAACCATGTTGTCTTGCACACACCTCAACTAATTGCACTAGTACCCTGTTATCTCTCACAAATACAAATACTAGGCAACTCTATCTACAAGGCTTTAATATCCACATCTATAGAATGATATCAGAGTCAAGCGCATCTCAATTCATAATTTACTAATGTTGGGTCCCAATATTAAATTGTTCACGCTCCAGATGTTCAACTCTCTAACCCTTAGTATGAGAGAGAGTGTTGTGTCCCACATTTAAACTCTTCATGTGATTGGGCTAACTTTTGCGGTCGAGTCAGACTAAGGTCCATAACATGTTTTCATCCATACTAAACACATATAAAGGAAACATAACGAGATGAAAGATAAACTCACCTGATATATGGTGTGTAGGGCTAAAAAACAACCCAAAGGAACGAGTTTATTTCTTCGAAATGCATACGTACGGTAGAATTTCCCGAAGCATAGGCGAAGTAAACTAAAAAGTTGAACTAGGTTTACATGGAAAGAGTATATATGTGGAAGTTCAAGAATTCAGACGGCGACAACTGGACTCCGTTTATTGTACATAGGAACAAACGTGTCACTTGGAGAAGCAGTCGCATTATTTTCCAAGTCTTAATGACAAATGCCATTATTTCAATTTGAGATGTGAAGAACACCCAAAATGGAAAATAAATACTACTGCATCAATAAATGCATGACAATTACTTCAATATTATATAGTAAAAATCTTCACATTATCAACCCTTACATAACTTACTTCTAAACTAAACGATCCCGTAATTATTTTGCCAAATTAAATTTATTTTAAAGGTGATTGAATTGGTGTAACCGAGATATCCCATAAAGGAGGTTAATGATTGAGTCTCACTTCGTCGTTTCTCAAGCGATTGAATTTCTCCTAGCTGGTCTCTTCTCAATCGAGCTCGTCGCATCAAAATTACTTAATACAATTCACATCTCTCATGTGATTTCCCAATTATTCCACAGAAGTAGGTTTATCGGTGTGGACCATAAGAAATTAAGAATAGTAATTGCTTATTTTTATGAGATCTCAAAAAAAGAAAGTATTTATTAGTTTTAAAAAATTAAATCTATTCTTAATTAGTGAAGGGCAATAAACAAGTGAGAAGGAACAAAAAAAATTCTGTATTTAAAAATTTAAATCTACTAATGTCTCTTATCTTAAAAGAAAGACATATAATATAGATTAGCTAATTTACAAGAATTTAATTTAATTTCTTTCTTCAAATGCTATTACTATTCACCATATGAATACGAGGGTTTGCTCTAAAACTCTGAAACCAAAACAAAATCTGGAAATGAGTAGTGGGTGAACCAAATTGCAGAATAGCTTGAGCTTTGAACCCTAATAATCGAAGAAATAATGGGTAAAAAGGAGAGGGCGCAAGAGAGAAGAGAGCAGAGACGCCAAGAGATCTCTCTTCTCCGTACTATTCCTTATTCTGATCAACAAAGGTCAGTTCTTTGATCCATAAAAAAACTTTCTTGATATGCTTTGCATTTTGTCCTGAATTGAGTCGAAAATATCCGTGCCTGGATTGAGGGTTTCTGCATTTGATTCAGAGGAAAAATGACAAGTCAAAGAGTCTAACTGTTAAGTGCTTAATTTTGCCGTGTAGCTTAAGCATTGGGTTTTAGTTAAATTAACAAGAGAGGAAACTATGTGTAGATAATGGAACAGACTCTAGCGTATTCAATTTTGGCATACTTATTAATTAAAAAAGGCATCTTCAGTTTTAGCATCTTATGCATGAGATACAAGAATATCATAGTTAGGATGACAAACTCAAAAGCAGCTCATTTTCCTACTTTCATGTACTCCGTATTTTAGGAAATATTTTTAGGTTGAAGATTGTTTGTGTGTTCTTATGCTTATTGGACAGACAGCTCTGAAGTGCAAATGTTGCAGTTTGGATTCTAATATTGTACTGTTAGAAGTATGTTTTTGCTACAACGAAATTAGAAATGCAAAGATGTGAGGTGTTTTTAGAACCCCATTCAAAGAATAGAAACCTAAAACGGTTATGCTTGGTGCATTATTTCTGCATGTTTGCTCTAGTATTGTTAGATGGGAAACAATGACATCGTTGATTGTATAATCAGCTTAATAGCAGATTTAGAGAAGAAATATGAGAATAATGATTTGGTGTACAATTGGTTTACTTCCATTCTCCCAAAGCTGCCTCTGTACTTCATCTATGATCTATGCAACATATTATAAGAGTTCCTATGAATCATAACCTAAAGTAACTGTATCATTGGAAAATTATTAGTTCTTTGATTACTTGCCAATCAGTCTCGGTAACTAACTAAGATGACGCTCCGCTATGTTTTGATAATCTTTTGGCTAATAGTTCCTATTAGTTATCAGATGGTCTGGATAATCACTATTTCCATGGCATAATTATCGAGATGGAATATGGTTCATCCAGTTAAAATTGGTTTACTTTAGGATGTTGATTCTGAGCATTACACTTATAGACAGAAGATGATTTTCAGATGGTGGTCAAATGAAACTATGGCTGTCGTGACTGGTTCAAACAGAGGAATTGGTTTTGAAATTGCTCACCAACTGGCATCACATGGCTTAACAGTAGTTCTTACATCACGAGAGACTCGTGTTGGTGAAGAAGCAACAAAAATCATGCAAGAAAAAGGTTTGAATGTGGTATTTCATCAATTGGATATTGTGGACCCTGCATCAATTGAAACATTTTCTGACTGGATAAAGGAAAACTATGATGGTTTAGATATACTGGTAATCCATCTACTCTATTTTCTCTTTATAATCTAGCATTGGTTTGTCTACTCTATCATATCTTTATGATGATGATACGATATGAGCTTAAATGAAGAAATGGGGATTCATATAGCCGACCCCAACTTATTTGGGACTGAGACGTAGTTGTTGTAATCTAGCATTGATCCAGTCGCATATACATCTATTTGCAGAGCTACCTTGTCCAATGCGGTGTCAATTGACTCGCCTTTACTGGAAAATGACATTGCTTAGATATGATTTTTTTAATGCTTATATACTATATGTTGAATCTCTTCAATTCCTCGTGTGGTTACTTCTCTATATGTTGACTCCCGTTAGTGAAAATCCTTGCTTCACTACTGTATAGAACCGTACTGGTTACAATAGCTTACTACCAGGTGCTAATTTTTCTTGTACTTCACAGTTTGACCGTGTTCTTAGTTATTATTTTTTCATTTTCCTTTTATTTTGCTTGGGGTGGGGGAGCAAGGAGGGGCATTACGCTATATTTGGTGTTATTTTACTTTCATGTGGTAATCAATTTTGTCTGTTAACTGTTTTGGCAAATCTGGCCCTTTCGGCTAATGATATGGAAGTATTTAGATCAATAATGCAGGAGTCAATTTCAATTTCGGCACAGATAATTCAGTGGAATATGCAGAAACTGTTATCCGGACCAACTACTTCGGCACCAAAAGTATGATTAAAGCTATGATTCCATTAATGAAGCCTTCTCCTTTTGGCGCTCGTATTGTTAATGTGACCTCACGACTGGGAAGACTTAACGGCAGACGGAATGTAAGTGCCTTAGTGTTCCTTTTCATTCATATTCTTCTTCTCACTCTTATTGCCCTTGTTCATCTTGTCGGAAGAGTATTCCTTTTGTTCTTTTACTTCGTAGTCAATTTTTTTCAATACTGCACCCTTATAATGCTTCGTAGAAGATATTTGTTATTCGTCAAAAGCAATAACTTCTTGAGTTCTCTAATATGCAAATAGCTTTTATCTTCGCATCTCAAAATGATCTACTTTTGTTTGATGCCCACCAGAGAATTGCAAATGTCAGCTTGAGACAACAACTGGAGGATAACGATTCCCTATCAGAGGAACTGATTGATAGTACTGTGAACTCATTTTTGGAACAAGTAAAAAATGGAACATGGGAATCTGCGGGATGGCCACAAGTATTCACAGACTACTCATTGTCAAAGCTTGCTGCTAATGCTTACACCAGGCTAATGGCGAGGATACTTTCTGACCAGCCAGAGGGCCATAAGATATATATGAATTGCTATTGCCCAGGTTGGGTGAAGACGGCCATGACCGATTGGGCTGGGCATACATCTCCCGAAGTTGCTGCTGATACTGCAGTCTGGCTTGCTCTTATCTCAGACCAGTTTGTGAGTGGTAAGTTTTTTGCTGAGAGGCGTGAAATAAACTTCTAAAGTGGGCATTGAAAACAAATTCAAGAATCAGCCCAGTTTCTTTTGCTTTTGAACGAAAATGTGATATGAGTACAGATAAAAGCTAGAGTACTTATGTTACAAGATGCTACTAAGAGCCTACTGAAAATTGATATTGCTGATTGGAAACAATATGTATCAGTATAAGTTGTTCGTTAACTTTGGGAGGAGCTGAAAGGGTGGTCTGATTTTCTAATAATCACAGCGACACATCCTGGATTAGATCATTTGCCTATGTTTTGGTGTACCATTTGTAACTTTTAGTACAGATTAGCAATGCATACTACAGCATATTGGTTAGCTAACTACTGAAAATATGTATTCTTCTTTAATCTTTAATTATAAGCATTAGCTGTTTTAAAAGATCACTAAATCGAACCGCACACATACTCCTAAAGAAATATCATTCTGCCTTCTAGTTTGAGTTCTTTGACCAATATATATTTTTATTTTTTCCATGGAGAATTCGCAATCACTATGGGTGTGCATTGAATAAATCCGCTCCTATGCAATAGCTTGCAGATTACACAAAATATGTAAATTATACTAGGCAAGCTCAGCCGACGAGTTTTAGGAATACCACAATTCAGCCACCCATACAGGTACCATATTTATTTTTTGAGTGTGACAGATGCCTTATCTACTTCATTGTGTGTGTTGTATAGTCCACATATTCCCTTCTGAGTTTCGATTACACTTCATTACTGATTTCTGACTTCACCTTTTCTCTTTGTTTCCAAATATTAAATTAAATTAAGAGAAACAAGAACAAAATGTATTTTCCAATCAACTTCATCTTCCTTTTCACTTTATCCCCTTTCTGGGTTCCTTCAAAAGCATTGGAAATAGATTCAACAGACCCAATTCCATCACCATGGCCGCACCAGTTCCATGCAACTACCATCATGAACTACACAGGAGGTCTCCGGAAAGTGGATCTCTGGTACGATTGGCCTAACAAAAGGTACTTGCATATAAACCAATACCAATTGGGGAAAAAATTGTACGGAGTTGAATGGCAGAACGGCACTTCATTTTACTTCACTTTGGACTCTACCGAGGAGTGCACAATCAGGCATTTCCCTGTGGGGATTTTGAGACCTAATTGGCTTGAAGGTGCAAATTATATGGGCCAGAGGTATAAAGATGGATTCCTCTGTAATGTTTGGGATAAGATTGATTTCATACACTACTATGAAGATGTTGCTACCCAGATACCTGTTTATTGGCATTTTTATGATGGTATGCCCATTTAAATATGCTTTTATTATATGATTTTGAGCAATTGCCGCTAATTTCGGATTGAGTTAGACTCATGATTCATTTAATTACATATATCAAAGTCTAAGTGTCCGCTTGCCCACAGATAATTTTTCACTCACAAAATTCCGTATTCATCAACAACAACAAAAAATCAGTATTTTTCCGTACTCGTGTTCCGAATTTGGTTCTGGAGTTTGCAGGTTGTTAGAACACATTGTTTAATGATTTAAAACGTATGATGTATCTGTTTATATAGTTTTTGGGTAATACTCATTTCATGAGCTAACTTCTGTGTTAAGTTTAAAAGTCATTTCCTTTTTCAGCCTCTCTGCATATGTTAATTTTTTTCATGTGTGATGAAGTAATTTAATGCTGGATATATGTGAAATAATGCAGGATTGATCGAACATATTATGACTTTTGAGGTGGGGAAAGTGCTGGAGGATTCTAAGTGGCAAGCCCCCGCTTACTGCTTCAAGGAGATTGAAAAGGGAAAGAAAACTTTGCAATATCAAAAAGTTCAAGACCACTCACTTCTCACTTCGTTTCATGAGAGAAGATTTAAAAGTGACAAATGAACGAATATGTATGACAACAATATACCTACTGCTACTTGGATATGCCCATGTTTTGAGTTTGTAATGCTAATAGTTTGGGCCAAATACATACGCATCCCTTTTCACTTGCACTTTCATATATATGGCATACTGGTCTGTATGTGTTTGATTTACATTGCACAAATACTATTTCAAAATTATTTGTTTGTAATCTAAAAAAAATACCGTAAGGGAGTGGAAGTTTGGAAGTGAATGGTTAATGGTGAAGAGAAGACAATAAGTTTGGAAAATCACTTTAAAACTTGTTTTTACTATCTTTACAAGGTCTACAAATTTTATTTTGCTTTTTAGCCATCCATATATATTTAGTAAAAATTTCGCGTGATGACGAGGTTCTTAAAATTTCAAGTACGGCCTATTTTAACTAGTTAATACAATGTATACTTCATGATGACGTGAAATTTGAAACTTTATGATAATGATTATTTTTTAATTAAGAAGCTTAAAATTTGTTGGCATGCCTTATTATTCCGTTTGTTCATAGAAATTGGTCATTCAAGTGAAATAATCTTTCTATTCCCAAAATTTCAAATTTTTTTTTAAAATATCACATTTGTTATGTCCAAACGTCTTTTAAGACAATATAATGGAGACTTTATTGAGGGGTTTACAACAATCATTTTAAAGTTAAACGATCTTAAATTTTTTACCTCGGTTGTTTCATGCATAAACTATCAAAGAGTTCACGTTATATGAGCTTCCTTTTCCAACATCTGACTTATATACAAGTCAACATTAACTTAAGAAGCAAAAAAAAAAAAAAAAAAGTAGCTACCTCGGGAAAAGGATGAAAGTAAACTTTTATGATACTAGTAACAAATTTTAACTTTTAACCTTAAAAATTTCCAATGGAATAAGCCATAAGGTGATCAAAGATTCAAAATCACCAATTCTCAAAGTTGCTTCTTCTGACCCATATTAGATGGACACTTTCTATTATACACAGTAATTAAGAAATTATAAATGAATTGATCAACTTTACTATTTTACCCTTTGTTCATATTAATTAGCCTCTTAAATAAAAAATTTAGATATTCAAAATTTGTTTAAACTTTCAACGGCCATATTAATTTTAGGGATAAAATGAAAAAAATTAATTAATACTAGCTTGATTTAGTAAGAGATCAAGTAATATGAGACAAATATTTTTGGGGAATCTGCATAAATTGGCCACAAACTACAAATTAATTACAATTTCATAGTCTAATCCAAACTAATTCAGCAAAAACTCATTCACCCAAAATAAATTACAGCTCATACCCCTTTTTAGTTTAGGCGAAATTTCCCTTTCACATTAGAAAATACAAGTAGGGGAGCTGGAAAGTGGAAAGATAATAGTTGTATTTCGTTTGTTTCTGGGGTAGGATTTACTAATTTTTGGACTTCACTGAACCTTTTTCCTTTCTCTTATCCCATCCCCACTAAGCTAATAGCTTACGTTTGGTTAAAAAGAATAAATCATATTTTGCAGAACTAAAAATATTGCAAAAAAATCTTTTTGAGCCAAACATCATCTTCTTCCCAAATGTTTGGAATCAAGTTTAAAAGAGGAAAGGGTGTCAATTGTATAATTTTGGGTCTTTAGAAATAGTCCAACTGGCACAGTCCCTTATAAAAGTCCCCATTTCGTTTTAGAGATCTGGAATAACTTTGTTTCGCTTTCCTATTGAAGAAAACATAGAAATACCACAACAGTATATATCTTAATAATACCACAGCAGTATATACCTATATATATATATTCTTTTAGTATCATTGATTAATTTCTGAACAAGAAACCTTAATAATATCACAAGAATATATTTATACTCTTATAATATCATTGACTAATTAATAAGGTGTGAGCAAGAAACCTTAATGATACCCAACTTTATATATAATGAGTATGATGTGAACAAAAAATCTTAATGATACCAATACGATATATATATTGATTTAGTATTAGTTAAGCGAAATTATTAGTTGGGCATCAAAGTAAGGAGGTATATATTTGTAATTAATTTGTATTTATGAGATATTTGCTTAGTTTTCCCAATATTTTTAGTAAGATGCCCATCAAATATGGGACAGAAGGAGTATTGATGTAGTAAGTGGGCCTTTGAGATTGGGCTAATGATATGGGCTTCAGCCCAGTGTAAGATTCTACTATCCGAAGTCGTTTTGTATCGTCGAATCTGAAAAAACCAGTGGTGGTAATTGATCGGACGGCGTGAGGCAACGTTTATACAAATTACTCCATTTTCAGTAGTTCAGATTTTGCAGAAAGCTGAGAAGCAGAAGCTAAGATGATTTATCGGTTAAATAATCTACTGTTGAAGAGTCCACTGTAAGTGTTAAGCGCCGGCATGTGTACGGGGTCGGACTCGGGTTTGGGTTCGGATTCTAAGTCGGATCCCGACTCAAACGGGTGGAGCCGAGCTCGTGGAGCGGTCCTCAAGTCGCTGGTGCTCGTCGGAGGCGCCTTATTGCTCCGGCGGCTAACTAAGTCGACCACACGTTGGGACCATGCTCGAATTGTCGCAGAGTCACTTAACGGTGAAAAGGTACTTTTTTGCGACTTACTGCTTTCTATCTCTGCTATCTTTTACGTCTCTAGAACTGTGCAAGTGATAATAAATGATATTTTTGAGTTCTATTGTAGTTTTCAAAGGAGCAAGCGGTTAGGGATCCTGATAATTATTTTAATTTCAGGTATTGCATTCTTAGTTTGAAGTTTTCACTGTTTCCTCTTTTGATTTTGGATTTGTGTTAGAAATTGTTGCTGCCAAATTTGCTTGTGTGAGTTTTGCGTAGCTGGTTCCCCAGCTGTATAATAGCTAAGAAATGTAATTTGTGTTGAATCTTATTAACTTCAATTTCATGATAGGAGATTGGCTCGAATTGAGCTGATAGAACAACAAACCTCCAACTGGTCTGTATTGAGGCTTAGTGGATTTTATTATTAGAGGTGTAGAAGGAGAAGAACACATCTAGTATTAAATGTTTGATATTTTGGCACTTTTGTCTGTTGGTGCTCGATTGGCCTGCAAAGTTACAAACTTCTCTTTTTGAGAAATGTTATGTTTAGGCTAGCTTGTGCGCGCCTCAACTAATTTCATGGGGTACTTCCCACCAACACATGTAGCGAGTGACTCTATCCATCAAAGCTTCAGTAGATTGGAAGAGATCACCTAGTGGATTTGCTTCTGTTAGGATTTGAACTTGAGACGTCATGATTGTCAACCCACTTCATTGATCACTACTAGGTCACTCCCTTGGGTGCGGAAGTCACAAACTTTAGGATGCATACCTTTCATAATTTGGATATCAATCTCCCAATGATCCCTTCAGGCATGTAAGTGTGCTTCTCTCCAGGAGCCTTGCTTCTGGGCTCTAGCATATGATCATCTCTTCATGTAGAAAAGACATGGTGGAAGTTCTGTTATTTGAATTTTTTTCTTTTATTCACCTTTCATATTTTTATGTCTAGATGGCTTTCCTGTCCTGCTGCAGACATGGTAGATGGCTCTAAGGTTTTATATTTTGAGCAGGTAAGTATCTCTATATCTCGATTTGTTTTTTTCATGCTTCTGGTTTGAACTGACAATGATCTGTTTTATGATGGTTATAATTTTGTTTTGTAGGCATTTTGGCGAACACCGCATAAACCCTTTAGACAGGTGAGTGACATCCAATAAATTTTTTCTTGCTCTTGACATTTCAATCCCTTGCATTATAGACCTGATACCTGTAGTCAAATTTCTCTGTCTTGTAATAATGTAATCTTGTTTGCTTTGGTTGCTGAAACATACATAATCACACAAGAGGGCAGAAGTTTTTAATTTGATTAGTTGCTCTTACAGCTGAGAGAACCTTAGTACTTGAATTCTAACAGAACTCTTTTGCAGAGATTTTTCATGGTCAAGCCTTGTGCAAAGGAGTTGAAATGTGATGTTGAGGTTGGTCCAAATTCATATTTATGTGGCTAAAGTTTGCTCTGAATTCTACTCCCCTTGCTAAGCCTCTTCACACTTATGTTTGGCATGAGCAGCATAAATTTAAACACTTATTATTTAGTGTAAAACCATCATCCTTTATTTTATAATGTGATTGGGCACAATTCTGCTTCACTTACAGGCTTGTTCGTTTGTATAATTACTCATTCTAATTTATTGTCGGTGGGTGTGGGTGAGGGTGAGGAGGATTATCAGGAGCCTGGGTAGTAGCATGAAGGTATGAAGATGGTCGTCTGGTTGATAGGAGAATGCTCTTTTTTTGCGGCTGAATTCTAGAATTCCTGTAACAACTCTCCTTGCAGTTTCCCTTTTTTTGAGTGTGTGTGGGGTGAGTTGGTGATGGAAAGCAAGTAGTGGTAATAATGTTGCAGCCTTTAATTCCATTAACCGTTGCAAATAAGATTTCTTTATCTTCCTGTACAAACATCTAGGTAAGCACATATGCTATCAGAGATGCAGAGGAGTACAAGAACTTCTGTGATCGCCCTAGAGATCAGCGTCCACAACCCGAAGAAGTTATTGGGGTAAATATTCAAATACATTATGATTGAATCTATTGTTTCTTTATGTTTTACATTTGAGTAAAGACTCAGTCTGTACCTTTGTAAGATATGTTCTCTCTTATTTCATGTCTCTGTTATATATTCCTAGTTTGATTGTAATGTAAATACTTAAAAGAAGTTTGATTGTTATGCAAATAAAAACTGTTATAGAACACACGGTAACCTGGAGGAAACATTTAGGAATTTGCTGGGAAGTCAATTTAGTTCTATTGTTATGTGCAGGATATTGCTGAACATTTGACTACCATTCATCTAAAGCGCTGTGAGCGTGGGAAACGATGCTTATATGAAGGTTCAACACCAGCAGATGGATTTCCTAATTCATGGGTATTTCCCTAAGTTTTTCATTAATTTTAGTGGTGAGATCCATATCATGATAGCCTTTGATGTTTTCTCCTTTTCTATTAAGTTTTGGAAGTTTATTTTGCTTGTGTAGCAGAATGGTGCGACATACTGTACCTCAGAACTTGCTGTGTTGAAGAATAATGAGATACATGCCTGGGATAGAGGTTTTGATGATGATGGCAATCAAGTTAGTTCCATATGCTCCGTACTTGTTTTTTCCTTGGAAGTTATAACCCGTCTTGTGAATCTTGTCTCGATTATATATCCATTTATTTGATGAACCAACAGCCTCTGACAAGGCTTGTTTCCCTTCCAAATATTACAGGTTTGGGGTGTAAAAGGAGGTCCTTATGAATTCAAGCCTGCTCCTTCTTCAAGTTTTAACGATGTGCTGAATCCTTTGAGTTTTGCTTCACAACCACTGGGGAAAAGAATAGAGGGTTCATTTGTCCTCCAGGAATGATTTCTTGTTATATAATCCTCCCCCCCCCCCCCCCCCCCAACAAACTGCCCACATCTTGTAAATTATAACTCAACTAGGTAATTTAATCTTTCAAGGCTTTTGAACAACATTTCCAATAATCGACTGTTGTAAGAAATAAAAAGAGAGTAAATTTTAATAGGTTTTAAGAACATTTCAACAGAAATTAAATGATTTGAAATTCAAATCATTGTTTTTAAGATTTCATTTAAGCATTCATGGTCATAAGTAAAATTATTTAACTTTTGAAATTCAATTTGTGACGCATAAATTAAGAATGAAGAAGTACAAATTCTCAACTTTCCAAGTTCTCAACTTTTTCAAGTTCCTCTTTCATCTTCTCTCCATTTTCCATTAACTCTTGCTACATACCCAACAGTTAACTGCTCCAATACTGGATCAGATTCCTTAATAGCCAGAAGTGTTGAAGGTCTCAAGTTCGAAACTCTTTGTCAATCAAAGCAAGGGATTTTCCTTCTAGATCGAGCTTGTCGCACCGAACTTTGCCTCGTGCCGGTTACCTTTTTTGTATGGTTGCATGGTTGCGAGGGAGGTTTTACCATGTGTGCACCGAAAGGATAGTGGCTTCGGATTTCCCTAATCATACAAAAAAGAGTGTCAACAAATGTGGAGAGTTTGAGATATATCTATTGTCTGTGTTGCTATATGCTCCACTTGGCAAGTATCTGTATTTAATATGACTAAGTCAGAGACATGTTGTACCTGTGATCTTATCATTACCGGGTCTAAAGTGTGATTTACATGAGAAAATCCTTATTAGATATGTCGCGTAGTTTGTGTCTTCTAGAACTATTCGACTTTAAACTTTTCATGGCCATCTATCAACTGACTATCAATGTGTTGCATCAAATGTATGTCATAAGTTATTGAGTTAGTTTGATACTTGTACATATGATATCCTACAAAGTAATATCTTAGTATTTTCATAAATATGGGATACATCAAAAGGTAAATTACTGTTACAGAGCATTGAATTATCCGTAGATAATCTAACACACTGACAAAGTAGATTAAAATTGAGGAGCAACATATATAAAATATGCTAATCAGACGATAATCAAACTTGTATTTCTTGATAATTCTAACATAAAAGTTATCATATATGTATTTACACGGATGAAATAACTTTATCAGTCAAATACAAAACATATCAAAGCTATCTATTTTTAACAATGTCAAATTACCTAGCCTGATCACCTAAGCAGTGTCCCAAATCTGAGCCTTGATAGTCTTATGAACGATTTCTAAGGTCTTCAACACCCCTGGTACACTTATAATCTCTCTAGTAAAATTAAGGAAAAGAAAGGGTAAACCTGTACCACATGTAGGCGACTTCATCGTCTTCAGCACTCACTTCATGAACATCAATGTTGTAATCTAAATCTTGGGAATGTGAGATATTTGGAGAGGGATTCTCCCATCAACCGTATGGCTCAAGGGCTGTGAAATTTGTCTGGAATTCTCAGAAAGAAGAAGACTTGTTTGGTTTGTTATGAAAAAAGAAGCAGGGGAACACAAACAAGATGTTCAAAATCGAAGCAAAGTTTCGAAATCCAAAATTTAACAAAACATGTTTTTTCATTCTTGTAAAAGTAAAAGGCTAAAAATTTTAGATAAGCGATAACTGGAATTTCTTAGTTGTGGTGTGTGCAGATAGGTGAGTCTAGGATCCTCTTTTATATATATACAAGTTGTTGGCACAAATTTGGATACATTTGCTCTAATAATCCTAATTTATTTGTTTTCCTATAATACAAAACTACAAAATTAACAAAACAAAAAAGCAAGAGAATAAATACCTCAAGCATAAATAAAACAAGTTCTTGCAACATGCTAGTAATACGTCTATATACAATCTCTCACTCATTACCGGAAAATCATAAATGCACAGTAACTATAAAGAAAGTATAAGAATATAGCACCTTAAGCTTGGAAGTTTCAAGAGTGACATCTGCAGCCTTCATTGATTTGCATTCTCTATATATTTGACACAAATAAATAATCAGAACACAAGAGGAAGTAGCAAATAATTCAACCCTATAGCAGTTAATATGTCAAGTGCCACTAAAGTTAAGCAAATTAAAAGAAGAGTAAAACTCAGAAAACACAAATTGGTGAGATTAGATTTGAGTGTAATTGTCGAAACAGAGAAAACTTGATCATAGAACTAAACCTGGAAAGAGAAACTCAACATGAAAAATGATTCGATTTAACAAATTGTTTTGACAACAAAATTGTAATCATAAAGCAGAAATATTAACTGAACAATTCCAACAAAACCTACCAACGGGAAAATAACGGATTGTGACACAAAGATCACCCCAAAAGCAAAGGTTTACTTTTTGGCCGACAGATTTTGGCACGACGTTGAACAACGTTTTGAAGTAAGCCATGGAGAACGATGGAATTTGGTTTAAGAGTGTTTTCGTAGAGTCTGTAGGAAAGGTATGGAAGGTGGTGGGCAGGAACATGGAGTTGAAAAAATTGAAGATGAATATGCAGTGGTTTATTTACGGTGTCCCCGTTTGGCACAGACACGCCGTAATGGAAGAGTCGTGTAGGTGTTGAAGGGTTGAAGGGAAATAGTAATCACCCTTTGAATTAAGATTGATGTTTGTAATGTATGACTGATATAGTGTTATTGAGAGAATTTGGGGTCAATACAAAATTAGAAATGCCGCATCTTAATTTGGCTCTGTGAAAGTGGATTTCTACAGAAAGAATGGATACAATAACAAATTGCTGAGTGAATTTTCGTTTAGGCAAGACTCATAATGTCCTTAACTTTTTGTAGCTACTTCAGTTCAGAACATAAGGTCAGATTCTACGTTTTGGAGCACCACATACTACAATAGCAAATCACTAATTAGAGAAATGTTCAACAAACCAAAAATCATTAGACCAAGGGAACTTTTCGAACCACTTTTTTTGCTTTATGAACCTCTTTCTTATCCTCTCTACTTCTTGACGTACTTCCTTCATAATATTTTACAGTATTTTCTTCATTCTATTCATTTAACATGTTGGTGCATTCCTGCCTTTGTCTAGAAATGTGCAGTTGCCCATCAACCAATTGGTATCTTAAAAGTTGGCAGAAATGTCAAAGTTAAAACACTCATGCCAAGGGGACATCTTGTATGGAAAAATATTACAAGCATTCAGTGTTTACGTTCAAATCAATGAGTGCAAGACAATCCAACACAGCGCCCAAACAGAAGGCACTCAGATCCACCTAAATCTTTGCGACTATCATGGATGAAAATGCTATGATGGATGATACTGGGTAACTCTTGCTCAAGAGTCAAGATCAAGGAATGAAACATAAAAAGGTGGAAAGCAGGGATCAACATAAGCTTGTAACTAAGAATACTTAGATGCTGAAATAACCTTGTATGTTGAAGCAATACAAAAACTGAAATAAAATTTTGACAACATCCTAATATCATAAGGACGCGAGTAGGCAAGTGAACATACCCATATCTCTAATGCAGAACCCTACTGATCCAAAAATGAACATGGACTACATGGTTAAAATTTACAACTCAGATGACTTAAGCAAGTTTAGCACAGAAGAAGGGTTTGACACCAAACAAAAGAGTGAAATCATCGTCAAGAGCCAGCCTCTACCAAGGTTTGAGGTCACCAACTGGACCGGCAGTCCAGTTTAAGGACTTCTCCCCGGGCTTCATGTAAGTGTTCTTGTCATGTGGCAGTTTACGTGCAAGTCCATTCAAGATCTGATGGAAAGCATCACCTGATTGAGCAGGTGTTGGAAATAACATTGCCTGCTTCATAGAAGGATTGGCAAGCAGTCTCTGCTTCCTCAATATTTCTTCTGGTCGAATAGAAGTGAGAATGGTGTCCAAATTTGGAACATCTTTCTCTGCTACAAACACGCCTATATCTTCCCAGGGGATTGCGTCAGCAAATGGCAAGACAATGTCATCTGCTATAATAACAGGGATGCATCCAAATATAACTGCTTCAACCAATCTCGGACTCCATGGTGCCCATCCTAGAGGGCACAAGCAAAAGATAGCTCGCTGCATGTCTTCATAGTAAGTAGTTGGATGCTCAGTAGAAATATCAAAGAGAGGATTGTTTTTAAAGTTTTCCCACACTGCTGCTCGGGCACCTCTGAAGTGAGAAATAATCATAATTAGTTATTTTGTCTTTCCATGTCTCGGAGATCAGTAGACTAAATGAGAATATTATTTGTCAACTTCTACAGTCATCATTTATTTAAACAATCTTCATTCATAATTTCAGGGAAAAGAGGAACTCTATAATCCCAGAATCACAATGAATAAATCAATTAACTAAGCATCAATACTAGGGCCTTTTGATAAGTAGCTTTAAGTGTAAAAAAAGTGATTTATTCATATAAGCCATGGTTATACCTCGCATAGTAACCACCCTCTGGATCATTTCCAACATCATAAAACAAGCCTCGGAAATAAACAAAGATAGACCGGGGAGTATCTGGAGGGATCAAGTGGGACTGCATTTTCTGTGGGGGAGCATATGGAGGAATTGTAATTGAGCCATCCTTCAAACAAACATGATTTCGTTGTCCAAAAGTTTGAACCAAGGTAGCACGTTGGAGCAATGGAAGAATTCCCCTCTCAATAGCTTTTTCTTCCTGCAATGGCGCAAAACCAGTGTAACCAAAACATCTTTAACACCCTTGAAAGTAATGACTGAAAACTACAGTTGAAAATAACAAAACCGATAATCATGAACCTAAGGGATATTTGTCGGTAACCTTTCCGTGGCTTCTATCCAATTATGTGAGTGTGTGTGTATGATAGAGAGAGAGAGAGAGATCCTCACTTGATAGTGAAAACAAGCACCAAAATCATGTGGCACAATGAAGAAGTGATCAGCTCCCTCTGTCCTATTCCAGTAAGGCCAGTTAGAAGAAATAAGTTGTATTGCACTCCTCATCATACGTGGTGACTTGAAGGGTAAAGGAAGGCCATTTGGTGTAAGGTCACAAGTACTGTAAACAGGGGTGTAGAACCAATCTGCTTCCTCGGGATTAAAAGTTCGAACAGCGCTAGATAATAGGAAACGATGCATAAAGATTTCAGCAGCAAACATGTGGTTGAGGCATCGCTGGTCTTTCTGCAGAATTTTCTTGTT